CACCATAACCAACCTAGGAAATGATGGCGACAGTATTATGTGTTTAACAAAAGTTCTTCGGTTCATAAATAAATACAACACAACAGAAGGATTCAGACATCACAAGCAGTTCAGTGCCCAAGTCCTGAGGCAGTAAAATATGTCTTCAGTCTTCATGGCTAACTATGGAAAAGATTCATTTCCTCCTGGGTGAATGAAGTTGTGACCGCGTTCAGAGACACACAGATCACCTCCTTTTAACTCAACAATGTCTTCCTGATAAAGTATCTGCTAAGTGCTGGGTAGTCCAAGGTGAGAAAAAAGTCACTAAACATTAAGACTCATCGACCCTGAAAATAATACAGCAAGAAAACAGGCGGCATCTGCTAAGGGCTGTGACGGAAATCTAAACCCAGAACCGAGTTCAGACATCACAACCAAGTAATCTCCTTCTCCACTTTTTCCGGCTCCATGACTCCACAGAAGCGTCACCCACGTGTGCCCCATCACGTGAGGCCCTCAGCCGGCCGCCTGTCAGGGCTCTTCACTCAGAACACGTTCTGTTCTGGTTCCTCAGATTGTGGCTGTATTTGAAGACAGGGCCTTTTACGTTTTTCTTTTAATTGCCAGAGGATACGAGCGTTCACCAGAGAGAGACGGAGGGGGGGGGGGGGGAAGCACTCGTGGTTACACTGCGATCCCTTCTCCGTACCCCATCATAGCGGGATTTGGCACACCTACGTGCACGTGCTCCGTGCGGTTTTCAAGCTGCCAGGGCTAGGATTCAAACTGCAGTTGGCCACGTGGAATATGACTCCCTTAACCACTAGGCTAGAGGCCTTTTAAAGAAGTCAGCCAAGGAAGATGGGGTCATGGGAGTAGCCCCATCCGGTATACCACTGTGCTTTCACAGAGGACAGATGAGGACACGGGCGAGCACGGTGGGAAGGCCGGAGAAGACCCTGAAGGAGGGGGCAGTCCACAAGCCAAGGAGAGACGCCTGAGAAGAAATCAAACCAGCCAACGCCTTGACCTTGACTTCCGCTCTCAGAAACACACGAAGACAAAGCTCCGTTGTGAGCACCCAGGCTGTGGCCTTTGTGACGGCAGCCTGAGGGGCTCACACACGGCCATCCAGAGCCCCACAGCGTGAAGTCTGAACCTAAGTCTGAACCCTGTCTCCTCTCCTAGTTCTATCAGCCTTTCCTGCTTTTAAAACTCCTTTAAAAAGGGACACATTTATCCTCTGTAAACAAACACCCAGCCATCTGCTTCAGGCTCATAAAGAAAGTCAGTCTGATGGCAAAGAGTGGCTTCTTTATTATTTTTAATTTGTATATGAATATAATTAATAATTAAATTAATGCCAGAGGGCATAAAGCAGAGAGAGGGAGAGAGACAAAACACTCCTCAGCGGGCCTGGTGAAGCCACAATCCTTTCTCCTCCAATTCTCCACCCCTCTGGGGTGTGCTCTTTTTTTTTTTTTTTTTTTTTTGTCGAAGAGGTTTTTGCTATAGGGCACATGCACTCACCAGACAGAGAGACAGAAAGCGAGAAATCCCCCCCCCCCCAGGGGAG